CTTGCTGAAGATACTACTCCGCAAGATTTTGAGGCAAGTCTGGCAGCTTCAGTAGCAAACTTAGGCGAACACGCACATGCAGCTATCACCGGAAAGCCACAAAACCGCTTGCCAGCTCCAAACGAGAGCAAGGGTAAAGATGGAAAGCCGACGAAAGTAGACTTCGTCTTCAGAGATTGTTTACTAGGCTTAAACCCACTCGGACTGAAGTCGAAGATGACGATTGTTTTAACCGATGCTCACTTTGAAGTCGCGTTGTCTAATGGGGATGATGCAAAAGCTCTAGGCCATCTAAATAAGGCATCTATTCTCCTTATCGATGACGTTTCGATACTAGAATCCAAGGACTCGGCATCGTCTACTCGACGACGTAGCTCAAACACCCCCTCTCCGCAAGTGGTAGAGTTATGCCAACGGGGATATGTTGATATTTGCTATATTTCTTCGGCAAAGATCGCGATTCAAGTCGGCACCAACCAGAAAGATGGAAATAAATGGATTGACGTTGAATTACGAGATGATCTTCTTGTCCTTGAGACATGTGCAGACTCTACCCAAACTCTAATTGCTCTTGCTAATGCACTTGCCCCTCCGACACCCCCCAGCAAAGAGATTAAATATAGAACAAAAGTTGTACCCGTCGAGGACCTACTCGCTTCTATATCTGCCGACGCGTTTGGTAAGGCCGAAGGCGACTATGATTTCGATAAAGACTTTGGATTAGCTCAAGAACTTGACGAAACTGATAGCGACTTTGGCCTTGGAGATTCCGGCCAATCAAGTCCCCTCGCTGTCGACTCGCGCTTTTATGATGAGTCTTCAGCTGAGGCCAAGCTTTTTGAGGCAACAGGCTCCATGATCTCGGATGGGATGGGAACACAAGATACAACCGACGGTGTTCTACTCACAAATTTCAGCAGCCAACAAGATATGATGGATGATGACGATGATCTGGTCATACATGAGAACTATTTTGGTTCAGGATCCGTGATACAAGGCACTGCTCACCGTTGGAACTCGGCAAGAAATGCATACGACGAAACCAACGATGAGAAGATTCAACGTAGCCCTCTATCCGTCCGTGTACGTGACGTCCATGTCATATGGAACCTCTTTGACGGCTATGATTGGAACCGTACCCGTGAAGTCATCTCAAAGGTTGTGCACAATATCGAGTCCACAGCAATCGAGAGGCAATCGCGTCACGATCGCGCTCGCGCGAGCACCGATATGGAGCTAATAGAAGAAGAAACTGAGATCGGAGACTTTTTATTCAACTCGATATACATAGGTATTCCTGCAAATCGAGATCCTCGGGAGCTCACACATGCTATCAATCAAGAGTTGAACGACGCCGCCACTGAGACCGAGTCAATTGCAACGACAGCGATGACTGCTACACCTAGCCGGCAGGGCAATGCTTATCGAAACAAAAGGAAGCTCAAACTTAATCGCAGCAAGCGACATAAGATCACCTTCGAGTTGAAAGGTATTAACTTAGACCTAGTCACGTTCCCCCCCGGTTCTGGTGAGACGCAGAGCTCAATCGATGTTCGAATCCGAGATCTTGATGTTTTTGACCTCGTGCCGACGTCGACCTGGAAGAAGTTCGCAACTTACGATCAAGATGCCGGAGAGCGAGAGATGGGTACCAGCATGGTTCACCTGGAAATATTGAACGTCAAACCAGTTGCAGATTTGGCGGCATCTGAAATTGTGCTGAAGGCTACAGTTCTACCACTTCGCCTCCATGTTGACCAGGATGCTTTAGATTTCATCACACGATTCTTCGAGTTTAAGGACGATTCTGCTCCAATTCACGCCTCGCCCAGCGATATTCCCTTTGTACAAAGAGCCGAGATAAACTCGATACCCTTGAATCTTGACTTTAAACCAAAACGTGTCGATTACGCAGGCCTACGATCGGGTCATACGACTGAATTCATGAATTTCCTAGTCTTAGATCAATCGCGGATGGTCTTAAGGCATACCATTATATACGGCGTTTTAGGGTTCGATAGACTCGGAAAGACGCTGAACGACATATGGATGCCTGATGTCAAAAGGACTCAGCTTCCCGGCGTGCTTGCCGGACTTGCGCCTGTCCGTTCTCTAGTCAACGTCGGAAGTGGATTTAAAGATCTCATCGAGGTACCAATCAGGGAGTACAAAAAAGACGGCAGGATAGTCCGCAGCATCAGCAAAGGTGCTATAGCATTTGCCAAGACAACAGGTACGGAGATAGTTAAACTCGGAGCCAAGTTGGCTGTTGGTACGCAGTATGCTCTACAAGGTGCAGAGGGTATGCTAGTCAAGCAGCCACAACCTCACCAGGTCGCGGGATGGGATGACGAAGAAACAGACACGGAAGAACCCAAACAGATTAGCCTCTATGCCGATCAGCCAACAGGGGTTCTTCAAGGAATGAGGGGCGCATATGCAAGTCTAAGACGCGATCTCAATATGACGAGGGATGCAATCATAGCAGTCCCCGCTGAGGTGATGGAGAGCCAAAGCGCTCAAGGAGCGGCTAAGGCCATTCTCAGACGAGCGCCAACGATCGTTTTTAGACCCCTCATCGGCTCAAGTAAGGCGATCGGACAGACTCTTATGGGAGCTACGAATGCATTGGACCCTCAGAATAGGAGAAGGGTAGAGGAGGTAAGCCTTACAATACCTAGTCGCTCATATGTTATCTTCTATGCTGACAAAGTTACAGAAATACAAACGGTGATGGTGGTTTTCTAGTTAATTGAGAACTAGCATTCTTTTTTTTTTGGCATGGAGTACGGATATATCACGGACCTCTTTTTCTGTCCCCTTCCTTACGCGCAAATATTGCATGGAAACGTCACGAATAATGCATCATAGACGGGCGGCCAAATTGATGTTGCACCTCTACGAGATTAAGTACCTAGCTAGACTGTTGTTAAATTACTCATTGCCCGGGCTATGATTGATAGGTTCTTTGGGAGTTAGCATAGCATTAGTACATTTACATTGGTAATCTACCTGTTCTGAGAATTATCTGTATGGGCTATTACTACTGCTGAGTATGTAGGCTAGTATGGATACTGGGCAGCATAGATAATTTAGGTTAAGTTAATATTACATCACCTCTATATATGTTTTCCGCTTTAAATACTCGTGAAGATAATAGCTATACGACCGACTTGTATCAGTCGTGAGCCTTGAACCACTTTTTGACCCTCCAAAAGAACCTGTACCTCAATGTCTCCTTGAGTAGGGTTGGCTTGAGGCTGAATCGACTAAAGCTGAATCGTACTCATGACCACTCTAGCTATTGGAACAAGGTTGTTGATGCTGGAACTGGCGAGATAGTAGGAGGCGCTCTTTGAAATATCCACGAGGAAAACCCATTTGCTAGTCCTGACACTTCAGAAGTCACCTGGTTCCCCAACGACGGGTCCCGTTCCTTCGCAGAGAAAGCACTTGTGAACTATAATAGACCCAAGTCTCAGAGAGCACAGAGGGAAGACTGTCAAACCTTGGGAGGAGAAATGAAGCTAGGATTTGTTTCTTATTGGATCTCTATAAGAGTAACATAAATAAAGAGTGTTAATTGAAGTAACCATCCGAAACCAGGCCCCGAATCATTAGCTCAAGTTTAACTACTCTCAACTCCCCTCGTGAAGTGTTCAAAAGAAGTTCACAGATCCAAGTTAAATATGCCCTATCTACATGGGATAATTGAGAAATCTAAGAGAAACATATGCAAGGGGTCGGGTGTTTCAGCTTGAAGAATTGAGGAATGGGAGTAAAAGATAGTGGCTAGGGGAAGGTATACCTATTAAGCGAGTTAAACAACCAACTAGAATATGCAAAAATACGAGAAATTTACGCTTAGATATGCTAATAATAAAAGTAAAGCAATATATACCTAATTAGTTTAATCAAGTCGCAATTAGTCTCTTATAATAATAAAAGTTTAATAATTTGCTACATCTTCCCTTTATATCATTTCAAAGTACAAAAAGCCCCCGACTACTTAATTAAACATAATCTAAACCTCCACCGTTTTTCATAATGCTAAAAATCTCGGTCAGTTATCAGCGCGCTTTAAGCAAGAAACAATAAGTTCCTTGCCTGAAAGTTCTTAGGCTGTGTTAGGCAAGAATTAGTCAAAATGTCAACGTCACCCAGCAAAGACCTTCGTAAGGACATTGATATCTCCCATTGGAAAAGCATTGGTTCGAACGTCCAACTGCTTGCTATCTACCTTTTTGTCGACCTCGACTCATTATTCGATTGGTGCTATAGCTTCAGTATTGACGCTAGTTTTCCATAGGCCGCTTAAGAATTACCGTTGCAAAATCTTCGTAATGGCAACCTCCTCATCGACTCCGATCCCATTGTATGGGCCAACTGAATAAGAGATAGAGGCGCCGATAGTAAACTTAACCTGAAATCTGATAAACGTTACCTACACCCCATAGTTTTTTGCTGGCATGATTATAAGATGTCTTGCATTATAGTCCGAAATAACACCACATCCGCGAAAATGCCAAAGCGTGGCAAAGTATTGGAGGGCGAGCATTGATCTTCTCCGAAAGTGTTCAAGGAGGTTGAATGTAATGTTATCTGATTGGCTGGGCCGCATATTTTAAGTCGGTTTGGGTAATTTACTAACCTACAGGTCTAAGGGATGACAATTAATAACGCCCTCTACACCTCTGAAACAATTTTCATGGTTAAAAAGAATACTACAATAAGATCGTCAGGGATTTCTCAATAAAAATTTGACTGTTAAGTATGTGCGGGTCGAAATAAGGAGGTCTGGGGGGCACTACTAATTATCATCCCTCAAACTATAGTTATTTAAGACCTCTAGTTAGAAAACAGATTCCCATCGCTTGTTCTAGTAACCTTCATTCGTTTTTATGGTTGGGTCAACGACGGTCTCTTCTAGCTCATACTGAAAACCTGTAGTTCTTCCAGGCTCTAGGAGCACGCAGCGCGGAAATCACGTTTTCATACATTCTCAACGGCCGCAGACAACGATATGGAAACAAAGCGAGCGGAAGCTGAACTCCTGGGTCATGTAGACTGCCATGAAATTACCAAATCTTTCTCCAAGGATGTGGAGGCAGGACCAGTAGAAATCCAGGGGGTATGTGATGAATTCTCGAAGATCAATCTCAGAGGCATCCGAAACTTCTAGCTAACAGGTATAGGATGCGCAAACGATACACGACAATAGCCATCTACCGAAGTCGTGGTCTCGTTCAAAGAAATGGACAGCGACATTTATCCTGTCAGCTTTCGCATTTCTACAACCCCTCTCGGAAACCATGCTGGCCCCAGCTCGAGTCCAGGTCTCGAGCGACTTACACGTCTCACAAGATTACGAGTGGCTGCTAGTAAACTCTTTGATACTGGTTGGAGTTGGACTATCACCACTACTTCTCGCGCCTCTCTCCGAGGTTTACGGTCGTAAGCCTATACTAGTGACCGGCACCATTGTTTTCCTTGTATGGAACACGGGTTGCGGAACAGCTGCCACGCTTGGGCAAATGTTTGCCTTCAGGCTACTCTCTGGATTTGGTGCTTGTGCAGCCGACGCCGTCACTGGGGGGTTCATTAGTGATCTTTGGGACGCTGAGGAGAGGGGAAAGGCGTTTGCTATTTTCATGGCGGGCCCCCTTCTCGGCCCGGCCCTGGGACCTATTTGCGGTGCTTTTATTTCTCAGGGGACAACTTGGCGCTGGGTCTTCTACGCCACATCGATAGCGTCAGCTGTTGTCATGTTTATTGCTATCGTTTTTCTACACGAAACCTATGAGCCCAGGATCCAGACGTTACTACACCGAAAAATGGACAAGGAGACCGAAATCCCAGAGAAGTGGCCTAATAAGCAAGGGGTGATGGATTTTCTCAAGCTCATGAGAACACCTCTTCAGCGCCCCTTTCGCATGTTGGGTACGCAGATCATTATGCAGCTACTAGCCTTCTATATGGCACTCTTGTACGGCACTATGTTCTTGTTTCTCTTTATGTATCCCATTATGTGGACAGAGCTGTATGGCGAAAGCGTAAGAATTGGCAGTTTGAACTATATTTCCCTCTCAATCGGGCTAATAATCGGCGTCAATATTGCTGGACATCTCAACGACTATATCTATCGAAAGCTAAAAGCACGCAATAACGGGATCGGCCGTCCCGAATTTCGCGTTCCTACTATGATTCTTGGAACGGCACTCGTCCTCGTGGGATTACTATGGTGGGGGTGGTCAGGTCAGGCGAAGCTACACTGGATTATGCCAAATATTGGAAGCGCATTATTTGCCATGGGGGTCTATGTCTGCTCCGGATGCGTTTCTATCTACACGATAGACACATATCCGCAGTATGCGGCATCCGCCATCTCGACGAACCTCGTTTTGCGAAGCATTACAGCTGCATTCTTCCCCCTGTTTGCGCCATACATGTTTAACGCATTAGGCTTGGGACTTGGGGCCACGGTCCTAGGATGTAGCTTTGCAGCATTTGGTACCGTTGTTATAGCTATCTTGTGGTTCTTCGGCGAAAGCCTCAGAGCCAAGAGCCCTTATTGTGCTGCCATTAACGCTTAAGAGTGATTAGACGATACATGTGCTTGGAGTTTGGCCGTTGGTTCCTCAAAGATGTCATAATTTTATGAAAGATACGTTTAGAAGACACGATAGATAGTTTCATTACTTATGGATACAGTATCTGTTTAGGTCGGTGATTATGGTTTAGATGTAAATAGAAGTTAGAATTATTTTTATTAATTCTATTTATTCAAGAGTATATGAAACGTCACACGAAGGGTAGTCAATTGAGATAAGAAGAAAGGAGGGGATGTAAGTAAAGACAGAATATTTCATGTTTCGGAGGTAAATGATTATTTATTAGTGTTATGTTTCTATTTCACACTCTTATTATGATTCTCTTAAATCTATGGTTAATTTATCGCGCAGTGATCAGTACGAAATTAGCAGAATTAATACTCATAATGCCACTGGGCCGGTCTAATGGTGTTCATACGGTTTCTGACGTCTAAGTAGCCTCGTTCGCCCCCCGGTGTAAAGAAAAAAGCGGGAAACGGAGGACTTTTTATGTCATTGGAAACTCCGGGTCTGTCTTCATCGAAGGAGGCATTCTAGATGGCATACACACGCCCACTAGACGTTAACGAAGTCATCATCATCGTCATCATCACCATCACATGTAAGGTACATCTAAATTTAACAAGACACCCCCGTTTTACCAAACTCTTCCAACAGAAGCTCATGCTTAGTCTCCAACATATCCTCATACTCATGGAATATATTCTCGATCAAGTCGTATCGCTCGTCGGAAGCGTTTTCGGGGAAAGCAGCCAGGATGTCTTTCCATGCCTCACAACCCTCGCCCATACTCTCGGCTCGCATATACTCAAACTCTGGCGGATAGAACCCAGCAGAACCCCACCTAGTAATGCAAATGTTGCCGTTCGGCCGCACCTTGATCGCCCACATGTCCAGCCTGCCGTGGGTGAAGACCGGCGCGTCACCAGTAGACAAGCCCATGCAGAACTGCTTTTTTGCGGCCGCCCGCTTCTTCATGTATCGCGTCGATAGATCGTCAGGTTCACCACGATACTCCGGTACGTATTCATCGAAACGCGCCTTCCGCATCTCGGTCGCAGACCTGAACTGTTTAGAACGCAGCGCCGGATCGTCACCTACGGGGCCGTAGAAGCCGGCGTGCGGGATGCGCCGCAGCTGGGAGAGAGCGCGTCGAAGCTGCTCGGTGATGGAAGGGACCATCGGTTTTAGGCGATCCATATCGTTGCCGGCGTGTTCCCTGATGGTGTGTCCAGGAACGTACTCCGTGACCATAACAAAGCTCCGGATGCCATGGTGCTCGTGCCAGTAGGCCGCGTATAAAGTCGGGATAGGGACCTTGGTATATTTACTTACAATGAGCATGTTTATGGCCTCGAGAGGGCCGGCGACTGGGTCGAGTCCATACCTGGCTACGTAATGATTACCGATACGAACCCCTCTTAGAATATCGAGTGGATATTGATCTTCTCGAAGGGATTCGGGGTCAGGGAGAGGAGCAGGTAGTTGCTTCTCGGGAACGAAATACGGCAATTGGGGAATATTGAGAGAGGGCATTTTCGATAGAGACGACGATAAACCGTACTGTTATAAATTAAGCAGTTTAAGAGCCAAATTTATAATTAAGTGATGTATTCGTGGATGTGATGATGATGGGAAATTCCAGGCACGGAAATAAATAGTTGAGATACTGATTTATGTACAAAACACTGCTACAATATAAGTAATTAGGTACCTACCTATATCAAAATGATCTATCATTACTAGGTATGTATTCCCGCTACTATAATTAAGTTATGATGGAAACAAGCCCATTGTTTTGGCCATGTAAAAAGCATGGTCTCATTTTCAAAGGCAGAATAATAATACGTTGTTCATATGGTATATTCGAGATTACGACACATTCTCTTTATGCATCGAATTTGAATGCATTTTGAAAGGAGTAATGCATTAACTCGCATAATATTATGGTGAAACTGTTAACCTCCAAGGAGCAAAAAGAAATTGTCTACCCCCTATGGTGCTTCATCGTTTTACAAGTCTATCGAGCACTGCCATCCTCCTTCAGCATGTTATCTCTGATAGAACGAAGACGTGATAGCTTAACCCTTTCTAACTAGCTTATTTTAAGGCTTACGGGACGGAATATGCCTAGGTACCTATTCACTATACGTTGTGACTGTATCGTAGATTCAGTAGCTATAACTGAATACATATCCCCATGTCGACATAGTCGAGACTAGTAATTGATAAAATAACCTTTATAAAAGTTCTCCACATTACCCAGCACACGGTTATCATCGCCATGACTATATCATACTCAGCTGTATAATTCAGCCCCTCAAATTCCAGCCCAGGCGCCTGTAAAATCCACATCCCGCCGTCACCATAGGATAACCACCATGAAATGGTACCTAGCCGGATTCAATAGTACTAAATCATCTTCACAGAAAGTTCTAATCCCAGCACATAGATCATACCCCAACCCAAGTCCTCAAAACCTCACCTCAAAACAGCCCACTCACAAACCACACCCCAGCGCCCCTGTCCCGGGACCACGACCTCCCAACTCGGTCTTCCCACACCCACCACCGAGCCAGGCCGCGCCTCCAGCCCCCTTTCTAAGCCCACCAGCTTCTGACTCCCCGTAAGCACAACCCTCGCATTTCTCGTATCTTTTTCGTCAGCCACACTCGGCTCACCATCCTCCCGCACAACATACCGCCCGGTAACCAGCGTCATACCCGCCGACCCTTGTACCCCATCCACCAAGATCCGAGTAATCCACTCCCCCTCCCCGTCGCGCTTCTGCGCCGCGCCGGCCCATACGTCGACGAACCAGTCGCGCACCGAGAGTGCCAGGCCGCCGGGTATGTACTTCGCACCCCGGCGGTGTGGTGAGAAGGCATCGGGGAGCGGGTCGCCGTAGCGTGGCCCGCCTTCCGGCGCCTCGATGGGTTTGAAGCGTGGTGCTTTCTGGAAGGTGGGTTGCTGGGCGGAGGTAGAGGGTCTAGGAAGGGAGGGTTCTGGAGTATCGGAATCTGTTGGGTCTTGAGTGGGTGGGGAAGATGGGGGGTACTCAAGCATGATGGTGTCCTCATTTTCGTTGTTGTTCTCGTTGTTATCATAGTCGCAGTTACTGTCATTATCATTATCGTCCTCGTGCTGTGCGGAGTCGTGGGTAGCACTGCTGAAGTTGGAGGAGGATATGGAAATACGCCGGCGTTTGGGAGACCGGCTTGGTATATCTTCCTCGCCTTCACTGCTTTCGTCATGAGTGTCGCCGAATTCTCGCACCGGCGAGGACTCCGGCACAGCGTCGACGTCCGTGTCTACGTCTACGTCAAGAACTTCAATGGGGTCGCGATGATTGCCGCCACTACCGCCGCCTGGTTGCTGCTCTCCAGGGAAAGGCGGGGAGCTATCAAAGATATCGTTGATAGGATCAGTAGTGCGCGGAGTAGGCCGATAGTAAGTCCCGGCTCCGATCCTAGCGGAAGCGGGAGCGGGTGTGGGAATACTGGAAGACGGGCGAAGTGATGAACCTTCGCCTCCTGCTCCCTGTCCTCTAGGCGTCGAATGAAGTGAGAACCGCGGCGTGGCATGGAACTGCTGTCCACCGCTCTGGTATGCTTTAGGTGTCTCATTCCTAGGCTGCGACCTCTTCGGCACCAGGAACCGATGAGGTGTCGGGGTCTAGTGTAGTTAGTAAATTGCGATACAACCATCTATCTGGCTTAGAACCTACAGCTGGTGGTGGTGCCATGATCAATCAGACAAATAATTAGTCGATGAACCCTCGAGACATCCTCGTTAATGTTAAACCGGCGCAGCGTAGCCCCTCTATACGAATGAGGGACCTAAGATTCTTAGACGGTAGGCTTTCCATCATTGGCAGAATTTTGTGTTAGATCTTTTGGGGTCAAATAATTTATGGGAGAATCATATTATTATACATTGTCCGGTTGAATTTCATGTGAAAATTGAAATCTTGAAGGTTGTTTCAACGGCAACTGCGATGATAGAGTAAAGAAATGCGAGATTACCGCAATGACGTAACGGTCAAACTTCGGCAAACGATACTAATTATGCATGTGCTTACCTAAGGTGTCTAAATGTTAAATCTCCCCCCTTTTCGTAGCTTCGTTACTGGTATACATGTTAGTAGAATTAAAAGAAGCTTTAAACACAGGGAAACAACGTGGACTTAGGAATAAAGCACAAAAAAAGGGGCATTCTCATGATTAATCATGTTAGATATATTTCACTAACATGATCTCCTAAGTCAATATACGAAAGCACGTACGCATCGTCATATCAATCCGGTTGCGCTCCTAACCTAACGAGCGACCCGAGACGCCAACGCCATGCAACCTATCCCCTAAAAAGCTTCCCATGTAACGCCCTATGAATGTAAGATCACTCTGCTTACTCGAATTTTCCACCACCGAACAAACCTCCAACGACTTTACTCCTACCCTCGACACCCTTCCACTTCTTCGCCTCGCGCCTCTTCTCGGCCTCCGCTACCGTAGCCCGACGCTCATTCTCTCGCGCAAAGTAGTTGATGCCAGAGCGCTTACCAGCCGTCTTCTTCAGGAGCTTGCCATCATCTCCTCCCGCTAGACTGGCAGCAGCCGTGGGGGTACTACTACTACTCGTCGTGCTAGTCGAGGAATTTGAGATGAGCGAATTTGTTGTCGCTCGTCTCAGTAGCGCTGGCACTTTGAATAGACCACTGCTACCTGATGCTGATGGAGCCGCGAATGCGAGGCGTGATGAGCCCGCTCCACTGTTGCTAGTTGTGGATAGGGATGAAGAATCACGCTTGAGCTTGATGCGATCGACGACTGCGACTTCTGAGCGTCGGTTCTCTTTGTTAGATGAAGACGTGGTCGGGCGCTCCTCGTCCTCACCATCAGATCCTATTTCTGTGGCGGGGATGATCGACATGGCAGAACCGTTGGGTTCGTCAAGTAAGTCAGATAATTCCCTGCGGATATCGGTAATTGGTGAGGGACGAATGCCTCCTCTAGTACGTCGCGCGTTCGGGGGCGCGCGTGCTACGTGATCATCCGCGTGCGTGCGTTTGCGATCTCCGTTCGTAGGTTGACTGTTCGGGATCGATTGCTCTGCTGCTGACGCATCTTGTCCCTGGCTCTGACTTTGACTATCGCTGTCCGCGCTGTCAGGAGCTCCGTCTGCAAAATTCTCACCGAAATCCCACTCATCGTCGCTGTTCCTGTCCTCTATGCTCTTGAGGAACGCTGCGTTGCGCGGGTTTTCGGCGATCTTTCCGATACGCTCGTCTGCAAATAGGGCCTTCTGCATCTTGGCAAACTGTCGCCGCTTCATACGACGCCGAGCCTCGCCCCCATCGTCAGAATCCGATAGATCGATGTCGTTATTGTCACCGCCACGGCGCCGCTTGCGTAGCATACCGGTTGTGATATCTCGGAACAGTTTGTCGACCTGGGCTGCATCGGCTGCTCGTTCTCGATCACTATAGTATCGTTAGCATTTTTCCTATTGCGTATCGGAAGGCATTACTTACGCAAAGAAACCAGCCAGCTTAGCAGCGTCAGCATCGTTGCTGGTAACGTCGTCTATCATTTCTTTAACGAGCTCCTCATCTTCTTCGCTCGAGTCTTCACCGTCAGCTCCACCAAGTCCGGCATATTCATCCTCAGATTCCTCAGCTTGCTCCTCAACCATCTCATTGGCCTTGCTCTTTTTCCTATCAAACTTCTCTTGCATGCGCTTCTTCCTCCTAGCTGCCTTTTCCATTAGTCTGAACGCGCTCGCGTCTACCTTAGCGTCTATAGGTAGGGCGCTAGGAGCGGCGCTGGGACTTGCAGGAATATTTGTCGTCGACGTCAAGGTAGAAATTGAGGCTATACTTTCGCCTCTTCGTCTCAACTTACCCCTCCTGACAAGAGGAGATTCTTGGACTTTTTCGAAGTCAGGGGTCCCACCTAATAATACGGTGTCGACTGTAGATCCTGGCGCGTCAACAAACCGCTGCTTGAGCGGAGAGAAGTCCTGGAAGCCCCCGTCCTGGGTTGGCTCAATGAGCTCTGACATTTGCGTCCCGTCCATTTGCATCAAGGTATCGAAGCCGTGTACTTGCGACTGTGAGAAGTGTAACTGGACACCTTGTGTCTGTGTTTCACGTGCTTGGGTATCCATATTGTGCAACTTCTGGCTGTCGAGAACTGTGTTATCCTGAGATTGGCCTGCTGTGGCGGAAAACTGGGAGTCGGGGAAGCTATCAAGACTGGGCATAAACTTCTGTGGAGATCCGCTGGCTGGTTCGGCTTGACTGTCATCCATTGTACCGGCGAATATCTGGGTAAGCCCGAGGCCTGCAGGCCCATCTGCGGGAACAGGGAGCCCCGGAATAAATGTCTTCCTGGCTGAGCGCAGGACAGACGTAGGAATCTTGGGGGAGGAGTTGGTGGCTGACGGAGATTTGGGGTGACGAGTCTTAGGTTTTGGAGTTGCTTCAACATCGTCCTCGTCATCTGAGACGATATGAACGTGCTTCTTTGGCCTGCGGATTCTCGCAGGCGGGAGCTCGACGTCGGCTTCATCATCAGAAACTACATTTGTAGTGGCCTTTGGCGTGCTCTCCTCCTCAGACTCGCCATCTTCCTCTGCTTCATCCTCAAACATGGGATTTATTGTGGGCTTATCCTCATTCTCATTGTCGTCATCATCCATCTCCTTGTCCTCTCCTTCGTTTTCTTCCTCCGATCCAGAAAACTCAATCTCGGCAGGATCCTCCTCTCCACTGTCCTCAAAGCTATCGTCGTCACTATCATCCCAAGCTAGAGGATCATTTTCACCGTTCTTCTTACTCTCTTTACGTGCCTTCTTCGCATCCTCACGTTCTTTCTGCATGATTTCTTCGACCTCTTGTCGAGCTCGGGCAACAATGTCTTCGACCTGCTCTCTTTCCCGTTGGCGCTCTTCTTCAGTTTGTACGGCGATGCCTTTGGATTTGAGGAACTCGAGACGTCGCTCGCGTTCTAACTTAGCCTGTGCTCTAGCGCGCTGCTGTAGAGACATTTGGAGTTCAGCAGGGGTCATGGAAGGTTTGGTCCTACGGCCCCTTGATATTTCTTTCGGGGGAGAAGAGAGATGAGCTAAGCGGCGCAGCACATCCATAGACTTAGATTCCTGTGTGTTCTTCTCGGGAAGCTTGTCGAATATTGCATCCATTCTTCCCTTCTTCGGCTTGGTAATTTCAAGCTCGTCGTCAGAATCTATCGTGACAAGGTTTCCTTGCATTGGAGGCAGCTTGACTCGGATTTGACGCTTTGGTTTACCCGCCGCGGCCCCTTTGATCTCAGTGAGTTGGTCTGAGACGTCAACGGCCTTGCCTTTACCCTTGTCTTTTTTAGTTTGTGCTAAAGCAACTTCTAAGCTAGGTAACTCGCCATCATCCCCGAATACGTCGTCTAGATCTACGCTAGTATTCGGTGCTGTAGGTGTAGCGAGATGGGCTTCCATGACCTTCGGAGCAAGAGGTGGAGAGCTGGGCGGGGTTCCGGCATCTGCCATATCAACATCCGTTTGTTGTGTCGAGCCGGGTGTTGTTGGTCTGCTTGAGCTTATTGGCTTGGCTTTAGTAGACACTGCCTCAGTCCTGAAATTGAAGCGTTCGAATAGAGATGCTTTCGTGATCTTTTTCTTCGTCTTCGCTTCGTGAGCAAGTTGCATGCTTCGACTTAATCGTTGCGTTTCGCGGTTCATCTCTTCCAAAGCCTTCTTGCTAGCCTTGCGAGCGGGACGGGAAACCCCCTGAGTGAGTTTGCGACCACCGTCATCGTCTGTGACATCAGATACGTCGTCGTCAATATCTGATTCGGTAGGCACTTGTTGGCCCATTCGCTCGGCACGCTCATTTCGCTTGCGCTCTTCTTCAGCCTCCCTGGCAAGCCTCTCTTGCCGCTTCCTAGCTACTAGGGCCAGGAAGCGTTCACTCTTCCCTAAGTTTTCCGGCAACTCATCGTCTGTGTCGGATTCTGCTCCGGTTTTAGGTTGCCGATGTGCCATCGGTGTCTCCGGGGCTGGTGTAACGAAGAGACCTGGTGAGGAGGGTATTTCGGTATTTGTTGCAACTTCTGGAGTAGAGCTTCGAATGGGCCTAGCTAGTCGCCTACGCGGTAGAGTACTGACATCTTCATCGTCATCGTCGTCTGCGTTCACCGCTTCCCTATTTTCCTCATTGCGATTCGCCGAGGCTGTATGTGATATTGTTGGTTCAATTGAGCTCCTGGTTATGGCGTTGTTTGTCGCATTTACGTCCTCTGCTCTCATCCGCGCAGCGAGGCGTCCTCGGGGTCGAACGATCTCCTCTTCTTCATCATCACTATCTTCCTCTGCATTTGGTAGGGTTTGGACATCGGTATTCGTGATAATGTCCTTATTAGTAGGTTTAGATAAAGTCTTTGTGTCTATCGTAGGGCTAGATTCGTCATCTGAATCCGAATCATTTACGGTGGCTAATAGGGCCTTGATCTTAGACCGAGGTGATAATTGCGGTGACGTAGGGGCAGATACGCCCTCGGCCGGCGATGGTGACCGAGTAGATGCCATTTGAAATACCAATGCCTGAACAATGAGATGCAATTGATGATAAAATAATCTCAAAAAGACATTATATCAAGAATTAAGAATATAATGGTAGTTAAGTTTAATATGTAACTTGTGTACGTGTTTGTATGTTAGATGGAAGTTGTAAGTGGGGGCTGGAGGGTTTAATTACTTTCATACTGTAGCTCCCCCCCCTGTACGCGCTTTGATATGTAAAACGCGTCTTTCGCGTCGAACTTCGCGGCCCATTTACGTATAGATATGCAGCAATCCGTGCATATGTGGGGCTCTCAAATCGCGAAATGTTTGGCTTCAATTATAACATTAATACACTATTTTCACATATTCGGATTGTTGAATTTATCTTTTTCGGCTTCCCGAGTCTTGGGCCAATCGTACCTACCTAACCTATATACTATTACAGGCCACATTATTGCCTCCAATTAGACCTTCTCGACTCTATCCATCGTGCGAAATGATCTTACAAGAATTCGGACAGTATTCCTGCCGTGGCGTAGGGGGTATCGCTGCAATAGAGTACATATCCACCAGAGAGTAACGCCAAAGCCGACCACGCTTCTCACCCTCGTTTTCAATGTTCATACACGCCCAACAAAATGCAATACAAAATCAACGCCCCTAACCCCTATGCTGATGCAAAACCCCTTGCCCTAAGGGGTTAAATGATTTCAAGTGACGTAAATGTGCCAACTCCAAGAGAGCAGGCATGCTGTTTTTGCCGCTGTATATATGACCGACCATTATGAGGTGTTTCCTATGATGCACGCAGAAAACACAAGGGACCAACGGCATCCTAGATGTTTTCCGCCAACGATGTTTCGGCGGCCTCCTCCCCTTCCTAAGGGACTGCGAGGCATGAGTCCAAAACATTGTCTAGCATCGACGTATCCTCGTTATTTGCACCCTCCCATGCTATCGGCTCTTCGTCTATGTCCATTGGTTCTGGGTAGGCACCGCCATTCATGGGGCCATGCTGACCGGCACCATTAACGGCTGAATCCTCAAATTCTCTGGGCTTTTGGCCGTGGAGCCAGGTATAGTTGTTGTAATTTTCGAGTTCGCCATCCCTATAGTTGTATATGACTGACTTCCTGATGATAGGGAACGAACTGATGCCACAATCACCTATTTCTAGAGCGAGTCGTAAATCGGCCATGCTTAGCGGAGATCGTTCGCTAGCAGCTTTTGCTTCGACGGGTAGGAGTCCGCTCTTATCCCTAGACAACTCTCCTCTAGAAAAGGCTACTTCTTCTCGTCTTAGTTGGCGGCGATACTTGTGGGTTTGAATCCAGTTGGCCCCAGAACCGAATCCAGCACTCCCAGAATCGCCAGGCCCATTGCTCCTCGTCCTGGTGAATACTGTCGAAAGAAATTCCTTGATGAAGGTCTCGGCGGCAACGGTCATGAATTGTGTAGCATCTGAAGAATGGCCGTTAACAAGTCCTGCTTCGTAGCAGATAGGAAGCATCCTCGATTCGATGCTTGTTATGTCCGGAAATTCGCCCGACTCTACTGCTAAGGGTTGTGCAAATCGTTTGCGAATCTCGAGATCCCAGTCTGTATTTGTGATGAGAAAAAACACCAGGTCCCGTTTCAATTGGAAGAGGGCTGCTTACTCATTTTGTTCAAGTCGTTGGCATTGGCACTTTGAGGTATGTCCGGTACGCGGGCTATTCTGCTTCGGTGGTGTTCCGAAAACACAGCTGCTAAAGATTCAAAGGGGTCAAACTGTATAGCAGCTTATTAGTCATCGTGAACTTGTAGCGCATTATGACAGCTTCACTCACTTCATTCTGAGTAAGTTCTTTTATACGTCTTCGATCGCGACTCGGAAGTTGCATGACTTCTCCTTTTAGTCTTCGTTCGGCGGCATCTCCGGTCACAGGCTTGGCGCCGACATTGGTGGTGGGTTTGTCATTCGCAGAAACCCAGGGCGCAACTCCTTGGTCTGGCATTTCCCTCGTGAGGTTTCCGTATATAGCAGCAAGAAGCTGGTTGTGGAGATGAGTTTTGTCGCCATTGGATAGTATATGATCGATACGTTCGGAATACTCTGTCTGATTCAAGCGTCCTATAATATGGGTAAGATTTATGCAGGCAAGGCAAAGCCAACAAAGACTTACCTAGTATAAACTGGGTGGTTGATTCTTTGTACGTGTTCCATTGTTCATTCCCAATTGCCGACTTAAGAGCAGTATATAGAGGTTCGAGATCGATTCGGGCGGGGATAATTTGGCTAGTTTTGGTCACTTTCTGCGTAGAAGGCGCGGAAACTGTTATTGATTTAAGAGTCGGGGTGGAAAGGCTAACAGATGGGCGGCTCAGAGCCGCGGGATCTATATCGGGCATGTTGGAGGGTCGGAGAGATCGGGGATGTCGGGGATGTCGGGGGGGTTGAATGGGGTTGAATTAGGCGTCGTGCGTTGTTGCGTTGTTGCGTTGTTGCGTTGTTGCGTTGTGCGGGTAGCGCGATGATTATCGATTCTTAACGGCTCAATTCGGAAATGTTGATAGTTGGTGATACGACAAAGCGCGATGTTGGGCGGATTATGCGCGGGATGTCGCGATCGAGCTATGAGCACAGCACAGCCCGAAAAAGGGTTTAAAACCCGTTCATCGAGTGCAGCAGATTGATGCGATCCGAATACCAATTTTGAAATGATGAAAAAATGTATAGGAAACGTAGGTATTTGATGGAAAATGCGCCGCCTTTCTGGTAGCCATTAAGCGGGAGGTTTGGGATGTCGTCTAGATTTAGAAAGCAGCGTCGAGTGGTGCTACTCACTCAGAGGGGACGCCTTTTGATTGGGATTCCGGGGTTACGGTGGATTCGCATGGGGGAAACTTTGATGTATAAGTTACTTTGTGGTAGGGAGGAAGTAAGCGTTAGTTTATGTGCGCAATAAGTACCTTGAACTTTATTAAACCACGGATAGCGCTCAAGCTAGCTGTTACCTGCTTGTGTTACCAGGACACAAGCTTCAATAAGCCCCTCCACCAGACCTAAGGTACCTAAACTAATAGCATAGAGTTCGTCAGGTCTTCGTCGCGTCGCGTGCATTTTTAAGTACCTAATGCACATATGTAGTAACTATACTTATACTCTACAATACATCATCTTAGGTTTTCCATATTTATACCTCTCATAGCTACATTTTATGAACTAAGTATCCCTTGTGCTTCGGTTTCTTTAACGGACAGTATTTCAAAATGACACAATGTCCGGGTCAAATCAAGACCGGACGAAGCGTGTTGATCTCAGTATCAACCGCTTAATTTCACAACTTATACCAGACGATCCACGCTTGAGCGACGAAGATGCACAGCAGAGACACGACTTATATTTCGACGAGATTAGACAACAATTAAACCAGTAAGAATGAATAGCCTATAATCATTATAAGAGCAAGCAATTAACATTATCCTTACTAGACCGCGACCACCTCCCTTAGCCGACCAGAATCATGCATCCGAACTTATTAGACGAAGGTTGGTTCAGACAAACCCGAGCCAGGCTTTACGCTACTCCAATCTTTACTCGAGGTTGCTGGCGCTGCCTGTACTAACCCAAAAATGGGCCATACTATACCTCCTCTATCAATTGGCGGACTCGCCCGATCCAACTGAACCGGATCCCGTCGCCTTTGCCGAATTTCAGCAGGAGCAGGCCAAGCGGAGGAAACGAGAGGAAAGAGAAGAATCAGGTCTGGGTGGTCCTTCCAACCAAGAAAGTTCCGAATTGTATAGGCCCGAGCAGAGTTCGGACGAGTATCAACCCACCGAACTTCGAGACGTACTCAAGAATCCAAAAGATATGAAGGCACACGACAGCGATTCTCAGCGGCCCTCGACCGCCAGTGATTATAGACGTGCTAGGGGTACAAGAGAAGAGACTCCAGGCCCTGCCAAGAGAGATGTTGCTATAAAATCTAAGCTACTAGCTGATAACTATTGCGATATCGATCCTTCAGAGCCTGCTCTCCTAAGAGATCTACCCTATACTCTCCAGGGTCTTTCCTCGACTACTCTCCCATTTGGCAAAGATGACTCCCTCAAGCTGCCTGCTACTCTCCCACCACCCCTAATTGGACTTCTTCACACACTCGCTGAACCCTCACTACTCTACCGCACTCTCGAAGAATTCGTCAAGACACCCGCAAAGGGTCTCCTAGGCCAAAGTCTCCGCGCAGCTATAAGCAACGAGTTACGCTCGTACTTAACACTCGTGGCAACGCTAGAAGGCCAAATCCGACGTGCATTGTCTACCATTGACGAAAATGCTCCACGAAGTGGTATTGGAAAGGCCGGCGTGACGTTGAAACGTTGCGTTGTATGGACTCGTGAAGCAACTATGGGTCTACGGCTTATGAGTATGATTGCCGAAGAATCTAAAAGCAAGAAAGGAGGTCAGCTCATCACCCTGATCCATTCGTTATCCTCATCGCACGGCGATCCCATAGTAGGCGCATTCGCCGAGCGACTCCTAATGCCTATTACTCGTCCTTTCTATGGCATATTAAGACAATGGATATACAACGGAGAGCTCTCGGATCCGTATCTCGAGTTCTTCGTACAAGAGCAGTCGGTAGAAGCCATGCCCAAGGGCAAGTCAGGATCTACTAATGTTTGGGAGGATAAATACATATTAGCAGCAGACATGGTCCCTTCCATTATCACGAGCGAATTCTCTGAGAAGGTCTTTCTCATTGGCAAATCTCTTAACTTCATCCACAACAGCTGCGGTGACGCCCAGTGGGTCGAGTCATACTCCAAGGAATCTTCTAGGGAGCTTCGATACGGCGACACGGCCACCTTGGAAACATGGATCGACGAGGCATATAAAACTACAATGCGCCGGCTACTACATCTCATGACCAACAAATTCCATCTTTTTGAGCACCTTCAAGCGCTGAAGAGCTATATTCTCCTCGGACAGGGTGACTTTATCGCCCTGCTGATGGAGTCGCTCGCTGCGAACCTCGATCGTCCAGCCGGCGCCCAATACAGACACACTCTGACGGCGCAGCTCGAGCACGCTATCCGCGGGTCCAATGCGCAGTACGACTCGCCTGAGGTTCTGCGCCGCCTCGACGCACGTATGCTACAGCTCTCCCACGGTGACATAGGCTGGGATTGCTTCACGCTCGAATACAAGATCGATGCACCAGTCGACGTGGTCGTGTCCGACTGGGGCAACCGGCAGTACCTCAAAGTGTTCAACTTCCTATGGCGCATCAAGCGCGTCGAGTTCGCCCTCTCATCCACCTGGCGCAAGGTCACCACCGGCTCCCGTGGCGTCCTGCAGACTGATCACCCAGCCGTCCGCCAGGCCTGGAAGACCACCCGCGGCTTCCTAGCCGAGATGGTCCACTTCGTCGGCCAGCTCCAGTACTACATCCTCTTCGAGGTTATCGAGAGCTCCTGGACCGAGCTCCAGGATAAGCTACACAAGGAGGACGCTACCCTCGACGACGTCATCACTGCCCATTCTAATTACCTTAATTCTATCACTCACAAGGGTCTTTTAGGCGCCCGTCGCCGACGCTTCGTCGGTTCAAATCCCGGTGCTGCCGCCTCCGCATCCAGTTCCGCGGCCGGCACCGCCCCGCCCCCCGCCGAAGAAGACGACAATAGCTATATGATCCAGCTGGGCGAGCTGCTGCGCACAATGCTCGCGTACCGCGACTGTGTCGACGGGCTATACTCGTGGTCCGTATCAGACTTCACCCAACGGCAGGAAGCCGATCTCCGGCACACGATCCCCCCTGACGATTCCGCTCCCATCCCAGGGGGTCCGCACAGCGAGTTCCCGGCACTGAGAGAGCGTCTGCGCCACCTAGGCGACCGCTTCCGCGCGAAGCTCCAGATCCTGCTCGGCGACCTGGCCTATCAAGCCGACGTCGACTTGCGCTTCCTTGGTGTCGCGATGAATTTTAACGATGTCTACCAGCCCGTGCGCCGTAAACCCAAGGGCACGCCTGCTGCGCCGGGCACGGCACAGTCGAGTAAGAGCGGGGGTGGTGGGAAGGATGTTGAGAAAGATGTCGAAATGGGAGTTGGGGTTGGGGCTAGGAAGGCGGCCAAGGGGTGAATAATAGGGTTTAGTGTCCAGTAACGAGACTCGATGAATTATGTTGTCGTACTTAGCTATGAGGCGTTTGTATCTCTTATAAACCACGCAAAACAGCCCGGTCTTGTGGTTGTGAAAGAACCTTCACTGAATAGTTGTATGTGTGTCCTCGTATTACCAGGGCACTTCCCATGCATCCGAAGTTAGTCAGTCCCAGGGATATCCCTACCAGCCGAGAGGTTATTCACTGTACCGCAAAGACAAAAGGCCATTTTCTTAGGCCGGCCGTGACATTGTAATGATAGGGAGATAAATAACAAGATCCCCCCCCCCCAATGACTCTAGAGGGATTGCTTATCCGGCTGGCAAGCGGGTCTGGCAAGTTTTGGGGCGCCACGGGGGGGGGGGGCATACCGCATGATGCTTATAGATACCTAGGTAGTTGATAGTTACATGTAGCTAGGCAATGAATGAGAACACACGTCAATGACTAAGAGGCAACCAGTTAGAAATACGCCCCGTACTGTGAGACTACCTAGGTAGGCTAAGTAGGTGTCAGGAACTTTTGTGTGCCTGGGTAACCTTACTGGCGGTAACCTTACGATGGACTAGCAGGCGGAGAAGATCATAGCTCCAAACAAACATCCTACTTCGGACTTATCAAAACATATAAACATCACTCGCATCTGCTACTCATTCCTCTCTCCATTCCCAGACCAGTTGTTGGCAAGACAAGCGAGATATTAATTGGTATTGAAGGTACTGCGCGAACCTATTAACTTCAACTACCGACGACAAAAGAAACAAATCATATCCACCATAAACTATCACACCACAGAATCGAATCGCGATCAAGAAGCTCATGAGCAAATCATAGCATATCGTCATTCATACGGGTTTCGTAAAAACCGAGGACATGTCTGACCGAACCTCCTTGTCCTCTCGAGATGACGATCCAGTTAGTCTGGGTGAGCTGATCTCTCTAAGCACAATTTTTTCCGTTTCTATATTTACACTGGTGCGAAGCCGAGTCTAGCAAAAGACGCCCCTCCGAATGCCCGTTCATTACGACCGTGTCCATTTTTTCCCTTTCCATACCGTTATGTCGAAGTGAATAACTTGTTGAAAACAATCAACTCATCAAAAGTCACAAAGGAAAAAAAAACTGCTCGCCTCCGCCGAAAAGAAAACGCCGCCGTTACAAAGCTTTGGTCCGAAAGATCTGACTATGATGTCCACGATATATCGCTCCTCGAGACCAAGTCGCTTGAAGAGTTGCGGGAAATATTCGACGGATGACAGTCCAGGACCAAAGAAATCCCCTGATGGTATATCAAGGTTGACGCATGCCTCCCAACCGTAGGAACACCTGTACCAAAGACCAATGATGGTCAAAAACACTACTGCATTCGCCAAAGCAAATACAGTATAAATATCGTATCGCAGTTACGGCCCGAAATAGAACCAACTTGTGCATCGTTCAAGACGCAAAACTCAGGCACTTCATCCATCTCCAGTTGTGCTCGAATATCCCTGGGTCAAACGCCAGAAACTTTATGAAAGTCTCTATATATCCAGCCAAGTCGGCCGATATACGCAAGGCAAAACAACACCCACCACTATGGCAAATGCAACTCCATATCCAGTTCTATGCCAGGTCGAGCAAGATTCGGCCAGTCCCGTGAAATTAGTCGAAGCGTTCGAGCAAGACATTTAGACGTCGGTCATCTCCGTATCCAGCGAGATGAGAGCCGACACTTCATCCGCAGGG